TGGCATGTGGTGCTGGGGGATCGAACCGCGGTCCCTGATGCCTTTGCTAAGCTTGTTCCAAGTAGGTGCTTTAGACCACTGAGCCATCTCTCCAGCCCCATATGAAAATATCTTGATAAATCTTTGAAAGACATATCATATTATGAAAGGAGAAATGTCACTGAAGTTTTAGAAAGTGCCAATATCCTGAAATAAAAATTAAGTAAAGCCATGCATGGTGGTACACACTTGCAATCCCAGTACTCTGCGTCAGAAGGACAAGTTTGAGCCCCAGCTGGGCAATTTAGCAAGTCTGTGCCAAAATTTTAAAAACTTAAAAATTTACAGAAGAACTGGAAATGTAGCTCATTGCAAAGCCCTTGGGTTCAGTCCCCAGTACTGAGAAGAAACAAACAAACAAACAAACAAACAAACTACATAAAGTTGCAGAGGAAAAAAGTTCTTATGTCAAATTATTTCATACCAAAACAAGCAAAAAAGCTGCAACAATTAAAATTTTCAACTTCATTGTAGAATTTTATAATGAATATAATGGACTCCAGATATTAGACCCATATATAACTAAGCACTCATTTTTAAAACTATACATTGTAACTCAAACAGCATAAAGAATTCTAACTTTGTTAAGTTGAATTTGCCTGAACACTATGTAGAAGGAGGGGAGGGAAGAGGAAGGAAAATGAGGTGGGGGGAAGAACACATAAAAGGCACTATACAGCTATGTATGTGTAGCAACTCCACATGATGAATGTAATCATTACTTATTGCAAACTTGCAATAATAAAAATAAAAACTTTTAAAAAGAAAACAGCTATAGAGACTAGTGATTTGGCTCAGCAGTAGAATGCTTGCCTAGCAAGCTGGAAGCCCTGGGTTTGGTCCTCGGCACCAAAAACTAAAAATAAACTTCCCCTAAAAGTAAACAGCTATAGCTGTAAAATAATACAAACAGGTTTTCAAAAGTTAGGGTTATTAAATAATTAATTCAACAAATATTTAAGTATTTACTAGGCTAGCTACGTAGCAGCAGACACAAAAGAACTAGAACAAAGTTTCTAACTTCTTGGGTTACTTCTGTGTTTTATGTTGGCAGATAAAACTATCATGAAAACATGATGTTTCAAAGTACATAAAAATGATAGAATGATTATATCTTGCTAATTAATATATGTATTACCCCAAAGAGTTACCATCTTTGTGGTAAGAACACTTTTTAAAAGCACCCCCAGAATTTTTCTGGAATACAATATATGAACTATGGTCACCATGTAGAACATTAGATTGCTTCAAATTTTATAAGTCAGAAAAACACCAATCTTAACTACTTTAAAATTTTTTTCATTTTTTGACCAAAAATTGGTATGAAATTTTTTCTTGTGATAAATTCGTATTTCATGACATTTCTTAATCTTCTTTCTAATTCATACACATGGCTGCAGATTACTTTTAGCCATATATGTACATTACACAGATCTCCAAGAGATAAAAATTTGATAGCACTGAAGCTGTGCAAAATATGTTCCAGGCTGTATATTTCTTTTCTGAAAAGCTTGGGACCAGAAGTGTCTTAAATTTCTAAGTTTTTAAGATTTTGGAATATCTACACAGACTCTGTGAAGCACCCCTAATTTAAAAACCTGAATTGCTCCAAAGACATCAGTTGTTTTGAGTGTAGTATCAGTAATCTAAAAGTTCCAAATTTCAGAGTACTTTGGATTTTAATTTTCAGATTAAGGATACTTACCCTGCATAATCTTTAAAAAAAAAAGTTGAAGAATTTTTAATAATGAAGTAATGTTAAAGGAAAGCAGAACTCTGGAAAATGGAAGTCTAATCTCTACTTAGATATATGAATTATGGTATATATGAAAAAAAAAGTTTTAGTCCCCAAATATAACCAAAATTTATTTCTCTGGTTTTTCAAAGAAATGAAACTTTGTATCAAAGAATGTGGTATCTAATTAACTTCTGGAAAAAATGTCTAACCACATTCAAATTTAATTCTCTTGGTTAGCTAAAGCAAAGGTAGGAGGTCTTTTTACATTTCAGGACAGAGAAAGGACAGCAGCACATGTGGAAAACTATAAAGACTATTGATACATGAAGTAATAAATCATAGTCTGAGTAGAGAGGAACCAGTATCTTTTGAAGTGGAAAAAGATTCTTTTTTGTATGACGTATTCATTCACAGTTTCTAAGTCACCTTACAAAATATATCAAGATTACCTTAATATTCTTCAAATAAATACAAAGAACCTTAGTGCAGTCATATTCTCTTTTTGTTATTAAATGTTGTAATGGGTCTAATAGGGTGGATTAGAAATACTGACAAGAGATTTTACATATGTGTGTGTGTGTGTGTAAGTAAAGGAAATGTCATCATTACATGTTAAGAATAAAAATAGTAAATTCCAATTATGTAACAGAACAGGAAACATCATGTATCTATTGGACTTAAGTCTATTGTCTACAATTACACAATAAAATACCACGATAATACAATGCCCCAGATAGGTATTTTTTCTTATATAAAGCATACCAATTGACAAGAAAAGGTTGATTTTTATAGTAATTCTTAATATATATGGTATATTTTTTAAAGCTAAAAGAAAGTCAAGCTCCTAGCACACAGACTGAAAAAGCAGCAACATGTAGGTACTAAATGTGTTTTAAAAAACACAGAAACATAAGAAAAAATACATGGGCTAAAAGCAATGATAAAAGACAAGAGAACAAAGAAGGTAATTGAGAATTCTGCTGTACTTTGAGCAACTTGAACAAGTTTTCTTGGTGAGAGGAGGTGGTGGGCGGGCAGGTGGAACTGTATATCCAGTTAGGCACAGCGTAGAGCAGAAAAGCTGAGTAGACCCTTTCCTCTGATAAGCAGTTTGCCCTTTCTGGAGGATTTTTTTACAACCAGAACAGGAAACTCGAACAGCTGTGGCTGGAACTGAAGGAAGCATTTTATTCATGCCAGATGATGCCAGTGAAGGCTGAAAGCCAGTAGTCAACTGTGGAGCTTTAAAAAAAAAAAAAAAAAAAGAAAGAAAGAAAGAAAAAATGTTTAACTCTTTACCAGACATTTTAAGTTATCCATTCTTTTTCTTCTACAGCTAGTTTTAAAACTTAATAGCAACTATATAGCATACAATTTAAGGCATTCTAAATGTTCCACGAGTACAGCCTAGCTTATTAATTTATAATAGAAGCAGAAACTTCCTCTTATTCATGTTGGTCAGAATAAGCTAGGATTCACTTATTCAACTCTGTTTCTTACCAAGAGGACTGCCACTGACGGAAAACACAGCACTAATTTTCAGTTCCCCCTCTTGAGCTTTTTGCTGTTGGCCATGACTATACTCCTTTAAAATGGAAAATAAGTAGGTAAATACACAGAGAAAAGAACAAATACATCAAGAAATTCAGACATTCAAGATGTTTTACTACTGCTATAGAGTCAGCAAATACAGTAAGAAATAAAACAGAAAACAGTAACCAAACTATAATTAACAAAGGTTTAATATGTTTATATATGCTGGGAGAGTAAAATAATGAAAATTAGCTACTTAATTAGCCTGTGGCACTGCCAGATATTTATAAATTATTTTTGAAAATTCTTCTTTAATATTATAGAAATAAAATTACTGTTTATTATAAAAGTAATACACAATCACTATTGAAAATTTAAGTAGGAAAAATTCTAATAACATTTCCATCATCCCAAAAGAACAGTTATTATTCTTTTGGTATATTTCTTTCCAGTCTTTTCCCCTCTTTTATCCAAAGGCTTTCTTTTCACAGTTGTAATTATTCTAAATAATACATTACTTATATGAACTGATGTTCTGTTCTCTTCAATCATTTGAACTTTTGTATAGTACTTCAGGATAACCTCCCCTGATTAAGTACCAGTGTTTCTAAGATTGGAGTCCAAGAACCCCTGAAATCTTGGCAGTGTGAGAATTCTGAAATTCTCAGAATCTTTTAAATTGTGTTTTAAATATTATCTCAATGATACTGAGGTGCATGCAAAATCACATTAAACCATGAATAAACTGTCTCATAACTGATGCTTTTTTTTTTTTTTTTTGGTATCAGGAATTGAACTCAGGACTTGGCACTTGCCAAACAGACACTGTGCCACTGAGCTATATCCCTGGCTCCCTTATCTAAATTGTACTAAGAATTTTCAATGCTGTTTGCTTTTACAATTACATTGTTTCATTGTGATAACACTGACAAATACCTCTAACTTTATAGATATTGTTTAACATAGTAGAAAATTTGCAAAGTACTGTAAGACTCCTCATTAAAATTCTGCGGTATCACAGACATGCTCCTTTTGTGGTGGTGTTTGTTAAACATTACATTAGTGGGATATGACTGAGGTGGGTGCACTTTCTTCAATCACAAAATTAAAGGCACCTAAATCCTAAGGCAAGAAAGTAATATTTAAGCAATATTTTAAAAAGTCAACATTTATGCATAAATCTAAGGTGAACAAAATATTAAGACTTTCATGACGGAATCAGTATGCGTTTTTTCCCCTTTTTGCCTCAGGCTCTAATAAGGCCTTGCATGGCACTGAGATTATGTAGCTATCACCCAATGCTGCTCCATTTAAAATTTTCCCACATTTAGTGTAATCAGTAGTGCCATAATAAATATCTTTGTGAATATTTATAGTTTAATTCTCAAAGTGGAATTGCCAAGCAAAACATACACAGTTAAGGTTTTTAACACATAATAATAGCCTCTTATCACCAACAAAAACTGTTCTTAAATATAGCCTAGTGATTTAAGAAACAGGCTAAGGCTCTTCCTACTTTGTTTCAAATTGCAGTGGTTTTTAATGTTCATTACAAGTGCACTATAATACAACAGTACCAACCCTCTGTAGCATTTACCAACATTTCCTGAATATGTATTCCGAGTTAAGTTTTTTATGTACTTAGGTTTCCATTTTTATAAAGTCTAACAATCTTTACCTTTGTGATTTCTTCTATCTGTTACAAAGTTTTACTTCCATAATAAAATTATAAGAAAGTGGTTTCATTGTTTATAATACAGTCGTTTAATCCAAGGGTCAGCAAACTTTTATCTGCAAAGGGCCAGATAGTAAATATTTTTGACTTTGCAGGCCATGTGGTCTCTGTCACAATTACTTAACTGTCTTGGTAGTCCTGGAAGTGCTCGCTTCAGCAGCACATATACTTAACTATCCTGGTAGAGCTACAGCAACCACAGATGACATGTAAATAAATGAATGTGGTAATTTTTAATTAAAATGTATTGAATAAATCAGTGAATAGAAAAACAAAAAAATTTTAATGGAGCAGGATGGATCTGGCCAGCCACTGATGATAACGGGCCAACCCCTGCTTTCTTAAAAATATCTATATTAACGGTTTTCTATCCTGTATCATCAGCCTTACCATAGCACACTATCTTAATGAAATGCTTAACTATTTTACAGGGTTTCCCATGTTTAACCTCTCCAAATGTTTTTTCATAATACATGTACAATATATGTGTGTGCAACCCTCCTGCTGCTCTTCAAAACTTTAGAATGTAGCCATCATTATTCTCATCAGAATTACATCAAATCTGTACTTTAATATAGCAATACATGACATCACAATATTTTTTACATTTTAAAAAAGTGTCCTTATTCAAATTATCTTTTATCTGACAGTGCTTCTCAGCTATTTCTGGGAATAGAGTATCTTTTCTATGACAGCAACTCACTGGGAAGTGATTTGTAGAAATATTGCTGTATCTTATAAAGCTGTAATTCAACTGGGTACCCCACTAACCTTTCATGAGTTCTGTCAGTTCTCTAATAAAGATCCCTACCAGCAATTGCCAGATAGTAACTTTATCTACCCATTTCCATTACTACTTTTTCTAATTTTCTTAACATTATTAGGCCAAAAATCCAACAAGAGTTCAATAATAATGCTAACATCATTAATCTACATTCCTTCAACAATTACTAACAAAGGTTTTGAACATTTTACTTTGAAACTTAGTAACTGCTACTGATTTAAATGTCTCTTTTCTATTATCAAAAGATTATCTACTATACAATGTGTAATGAATTACATGAGATGTATTTTGGTATCTAACAAAGACACTATGTAGATACGCTGCCAGTGAAAATATATGTATTTAAAACTTTCTAATACTGACTTATCCTGACTTCGTATGTTACATAGCAGTGGTGGTAAACCTAGGGCACGTGTGCTGCAATAGGCTGTTTGAATCAATGAAACCTCTAAAAGGTTCACCATCACTATTCTATAGTATATCAAAGCAACTCTCCAGCAAAAACCAAAAATAATCTCAGGAAATTCCAGAAATAATCAATATTTATTAGCTGAACTTATGGCCTCTAATCAGCTCTGATTCTCTGTGATGACAATTCCAAACTTCGGACACATTTTAAAGCCACAAGTATACATATTACTGATAGTAAACTAAGTATGCATCTTAAGTATTCTGAACATCCTGTAAAGCCTCCAAAAGCAGCATGTCTGATTTGTGTGTCCATCAAAAACAACTAATTTTCTAAATATTTGATACAAATCAATGATTAGCAAATAACTGATTAATGTATTTTGAAAAGTAAATATCTGATTGATGACCCAAAAGCTTTCAGAAGAGAAAAATTTTTTAAAAGTACTGGAATAAAAGCTTTTTAAAAAAAAAAAGCTCTTTTTGAGTATTTTCACTTTTCTTTCATTCACCACAAAGGAAGATTCATATCAGTATCTCCAGTATTTTAGAAACAAAAGAACAAGGTTGTTACAAATTAACTTTACAGGCCTAAGCTACAACACCAACATTTTCATGTTTATATTCTACTTTCTAAGCTTGCATGAATGACTAATGTGACACGTGGGTAATCTGCTTTCCTGTCTCTATTTCAATGAAAGATTATAAGTTAGCTCTATTATTTTGAGGAAGTACAATCATGAATTTAACATATTTACTTCGTGTCTAGCTTTCAAAACACATAGAGGGAGCCTGCCCCTTTGCTCAGTTCTTTAAATGGCTGCTTCAACAAAGCAGTCAGGCTCAGGTTGCTGTGGTTCGATCCCCACAACTTAAGCCAGCCCAACCTGCCCTGAAGGCATTTGGAGAAAAAAAAAAATTCAAAACACATAGAAAAAGAGAAAAAGAAAAAAAGGAGGTCTCTCCCTCTATAAATTTCTATTTTAAAACCTTCAAATATTTTTAAAAATTAAACATTTATTTACAGGAACACTGCAAATTAACTAAGACTTTGAGTGTAACTCCAGACTACTTTTTCCAATATGGCCTTGAGTAATTAACTTAATTTATATGAAATTCAGTTCTGTATTTACAAATGTAGTTAAATATCCTGTATTAAAGCCATCTTACATACACTGTTTTATGTAGGGATGAAACAACATAGCATATATAAAAATGTCTAACTATACAGTCACAACAGAAAATATTACAGTAACATGCAAAGGAACTAGAATGAAGAAATGAAACTGGAAAACCAAATGATGTTATACCTGTAACAGAAGAAAAATGATGATGACAACCTGGAAGTTTATAACTAAAATAACCAGGAGCAAGTTAAATATGTATGCATACACTTCAACATCTTAGGAATTCATATGGGAAAGTAAAGAAACTAAGACCAAAATGAGTTGTGTAAAAAGGAGAATTAAGAAGTGAGTAAAGTAAAACTACAAAGTATCAGTAAAGCCAAGGAAGGCTTCGAAAAGGTGTCAGAAGCTAAAACCACGATGTACCAAGCCATGAGGAAAATTACTAGTAATTAATGGTCAAAAGTAAAGGCTCATCACAACTTTAAATCTATCAGTTTTGATTTTTTTTTTTTGAAAGGTTAATAGTATTATTTTAGAGACTAAGAAAACAACACACTGGAATCTCCTTTTCTGATCCATGGGAAATTATTAAGATTAATAAAGAAATATGCAGCATTAAAAAGCCAGGAGTGTAGATTTCCAATCACTACAGGGGACAAATACCCAAAAGAGCAGCATAATGATGAGACATAATAGAAGAGGACTAGAAAGTAGGAGAAAGGTAAAAGGAGTTGGGAGAAGGAAAGATAATAGGAAAAGATCAGTACCTATAATTCATAACATGAACTCTCGATTTCTAAGAGAATTATCAAAGGTTTGGTCCTACAGGATTGGTCAGGCTAACAACAGAGGAATGCTCAGGGAAAAACCTAGTTTTACCTACTCACCTGCTGGGACTGCTTTTTGGTAGGGTCAGCATAAAGAATGTTTTTGGATCTTATATCCCAAACCTACCCATATTACTGCTTTGTTGTCAAATGTCCAATCAATCAGCTCTGAGTCTCCGGGGAAGTTCTCCCCTGTAGTCATGATAAAACTTCATACTTGGTATTTTGTAACACATTTCATAGTTTTGAATAAGTACAAAAGATATAGGCACTTCTATCCATTTTATCCTATTCATATTCTCTAGCCACTGGAACCAATACTCTCTACTGCTACCGTGTTTGTACTTTTCATCTCAATGAAATGTCATTGGATAATGTTCAAAAGAAAGAGATGCCTTTGGTACCCGGCCAGCATTGTAATTTCTTATATATTCCCTATGTGCACATTGGGGTAATAAAGAGATTCAGATCTGCCTTGCATACCACCATGGTTATAGTATTCTGAAACACACACTGCTACATGAACTGTCCCTGGATTTCATAACATTTATTTCTAATTCTGATATTATTTCCTATTTATCTGCTTCTACAAACATGTGAAATTTTAATCCACCTTCTACTCAAATATGCACGTATCCTTTTTTTCTTTAATCCAATTATATTCATATCCATCCAATTCCTACAGTTTCACTATCACTACTCTGATATATCGATCTTCTCCTGGGTACTACATAATTCTTGCTTATGTGAGTGTCAATTTAAGTCATATGAATCATCTACCTCTATAATCACTTTCTCTAACCACCCACTTTTCCATCTATGTATTCTAAAGCAGTGGTTCTCAATAGTAAATGATTTTGTTTCTCAAGGAGACACTTGGCTATATTAGAGATGCTTCTGTCTGTTACAACTGGAGTGGGGACATTGTTGCTAATAGCATCTACTAGGTAGAGGCCAAGAATATTGCTAAACTTTTACCAATGCACACGGCAACTCCTTCTAACAAAAAAAAAAAAAATCATCTGGCACAAAATGTCATTGGTATTAAAGTTTAAACATGAATGATGTCCTCAAACCCCATTATATAATAGAAAGATAGGAAAAGGTAAAATTTCTTCAGATTAAATACTAATCTCAGAAAAATTGTTCATTCATGTTGTCTTTGCTTCTCATCCTCTCAGTTAATGCCACATGTACAAAACACATACTGTCTTTAAATAACTGCTGCTGTGTAGTCATCCTCTGGTCTTCCCATATTTCAAGATAATTACAGCATGTGATACAACTTTCTTCTACTCTAATCACTACAATGTGATTATCTATAAGGATAATTTAGCTACGACTTCACAGTTACAGAATCCCTATGACTTTTACTTCCAGAGCAAATGTGAAATAGTAGAGCTCTACCTTTGCCATACTAAAAATCAGAATCTAAAATTTGAGGCCATGCATGATCAACAAAGCCTCCTTTACCTTTTACCCACTAACCCAACAAACTGGTTCTTCAAACAAATCTTCCAAAGATGATCTGTCCAGTAACCCCTCCTGAAAATGTAAAATCCACACTTAACCTGTAACTCACTAGCAGTAACTGCAAAGGGCTTGTCATTCTATATGGAGTCACAACACAATCCTATAAATGCACCATTACACCTTCAGTTATAACTGAGGCTATAATCCTTTGGCTGTAACTATCAATCTCAAATCCTTGTACTAAAATGCATTAAAACTCACAATGATATTAAGAAAAGAGATGATTAAAAGCCTTCATAACTACTCAGGAAAACTTTCATAACTCTTGTTAATGCCTTGCAAAACACTTCAAATCACCACAACCTCCTTTAACAGTCTCATTTCACCCTATCAATAAACTTTACTTAAGTACTTTCTCTCTGAAATGAATAATTTAATGTGTGAACAAAAAAGGGGGAGGTTTAAAAAAAAAGGTGAAATGTTTACTTGAGCATTTTCAGGTTCATCTTTAATTTTGTCTAGTAGTCCCTGCTGTGGTGCCATTGCTTTGTCATACTCATCATCCAAAGGTTCTTCTTTAATTCTAATATTTGATGCAAAGGAATTCCCCAGTTCCGAACCAATGGATTCTTTATTGGCAAATGGGTAGCTGGAATCCTAAAACACAATATAAAGGATTAATAAGTATTCAAATGTTAAAATGATTCCTCTTCAGGCTTAACCCAAAGAAAAGCTCTCTGCCAATGAACTCTGTGGACAATCACTAGAGTCCCTACGCCTAAAAGTAAATGTGCTATGGATCTACATATCAAATACAAAGAACCTAAGAGCTGAGGGTGTTTGGAATGTCTCCAACAATGTCGTACTTAAATAAAGCAATGTTTAAAAAAAACCAAAAAAGTAGAGCTCTACCTAACATATATAGTTAAAGAGTTTAAAAAGTAACATAAAGAAAATTTGACACTTGCCACAGGTAACAGTAATCTACATACACACTGAAAACTTACCCTAAAGTTTGTTTCTGGGGTTTGTGGTAAATGGGTATGTAATGTTTCTTCAACTTGATTAGCTATTGAAAGAAAAACAAACAAACAAACATATGTATATGAATAACAAATCTTACAGAGTGATCCAGAAAGCTATCATTTGTTCATCACCTCTTTTTCCAACACAGATGCTCATTAGAGTGAATTGGGTCCCAAAAAACACCCAGAAAGTAGTTTCACTCGAAATTCTGTACATCGTCCTCATCTACCTTTTCGTCTAATCTCATATCTTTTGCTTGCTCAAACATAAAATGGTTACTTTATTCACTACCCTCTGAAAATTTTTGTTCTCCTTTATTTCTGCTACTTCTATACCAAGTCTCTTCAATACTAATGTTTATACAGTTTTCTTGACTCTTCTCAGTTCAAACTTCATCTCTCTTCTACAAATATCCCTTATTCACTAACTTAAAATTTACCTCTTCCCCTATGGATACATAAAACACACTGTTTCCTGTTTGAAAAAAAGTTGCACTGCCTTGTGACAGATTTTTCTACCTTTGTCTTTAATAATAAATAAATCTTATGTTATTAAACTGGTCACTGACACGTCTATTTATCTGTCCCTTCTGTTAGACACTACGTTTCTTCAGAACAAAAGACTTTATTAACTTCTGATATCCCTTCTAGGATTACTGAAAATATACATACACCCTTGAATAGTCTTGTATAGCATGTATACGCCAAACAGTTACACTTTTTAACTATACTGGTTTGTCCTTTCTATCCTGTATTTCCTAGTACTGTCAGAAGAAATGTAAGGATTGGTACAGTACACTTGCTCTCCTTCATGTCAATTTAACATCTGAACCTGGCCTGGTGGTGCACACCTGTAATTCCAGCACTCAAGAAACTAAGGGGAGGATCACAAGTTGGAGGCCAGTGTGGGCTACACAGCAAGTTAGACTACTTTGCAAGAATCTGTCCAAAAAAAAAAAAAAAAAAAAAAAAAAATGAAACAACTACGGTTTGCACTCTACCAGATTGGACCTCAAAAATGCAAAGATGAATTAAGATACAATCTGTTCTCAAGAAACTCCCATACTAGGAGATAAAACAACAACAAAAACAACACTAGAATACTGTGTGACAAGT